ATCAAAAATCTATACAAAGGAAAGTTTCACTTAGTATATTTCTTCCAAAAGAATATTATATTCACCATTTCTTCTTTAGAAAAATTCATTTTCAAACACGTTATTATTATAATGGTCACAAAGGTAATTTTGACAGTTTGTAACTAATCAAACATTAATTTGTTTCCAAGGATGATACGACATTTTGGGGAATTAAGCCGTTCCATAAAAGACTAATAACCGAAACAATAGCCGTAAAAACCCTTATGTGTCTAGTATCAAAAAAGCTTATAATGACGCATTTGAAATTTATATCTCAGTAGCTAATTACCAAACCCCATAGTATGTTATATCAATTTTCTTCTTTTGAAGTGATTTATCCAAATATGCAATAAAATTTGAGGCATTCTTTTTGAAAAATCGCACCCTTGATATGTAGGTCAAAATTGAGACACCCTGTATAATGGCCAATTTTTTAGAAATGTACCCTCAAATGTCATGCATAACTACTATTCGTCAGAGCGGTCCGGTGGACCTTTGCTTTTAGTTAAAAGTCTCGTCGGTCTGTTAGTCTGTCAGGTCTGGCTACCCAGATACCAAACATGGAAAAGTGAAAGAAGAAAAGAAAGGAAGGAAGAAATAGAGCAAAGAAAAGAAGTAAATCATTTGAAATAGCTTAAGCATTATTGCTTTGACTAATCGAATTATTTTGTAACTCCAAAAAATAATTTTCATCGGCTTTGAAATACTGAAATAATTTTGGCTGGTCTGAATTTACAATTTAATTTTGATCACAGTGCGAGGCGCGGCCTGGAATGTTTGCGAACTTGCTCGACTGTGTAGTCTACTGAATCACGCAACAGAGGGTTGCTGTGCGATTCCGCTTGATTATAACGCCACTGCGCCTGTTGTTTTACGTAATCCCTTAAATATAGGATATCAAGATCTGTGAATAGTCTCATTTGACACGTACCAAGGGGCGTTAGTAATTGTGCGTAGGGTTCTGTTTTGCAGGACTTGCAGTCTCTGCATGTGCATCTTGGCAAGAAAACACCAAGCCTCGCATGCGTAGGTGATTTTGGGTCTTTGACCATTTTATACAACCGAATCTTGTTGATCAAACTTAATTTTGAATTTCTGCACAACAGAGGATAAAGCTGCCGAAAGGTTATTTGGAATTTTGTTTTCAAAATATCAGTATGTTTCTGCCAGGTCAATCCTTGTCAATGATGACTCCAAGATACCTGACAGATGATTAATGCAGTTTGTCTATTGTACTTAGCCATTCAATGGCTGCGGAAAGATCGCCTGCAATGCCTGAGTGGCGCTAATCGGGGGACTTATTATTTGTTGAAGGGACCTAAGCGCAGTTGCTAGGTCCACATTCTGCGTGTTCAAAGTGGGTTGAACAGAGGGGGCAGCCGAAGATGTTGAGACGGCTGCTTCCGCGTATGACTTGCTGCGTCTTTGCGCTATGACAGATTTCGCCTGGGGGTGAATCTGCAAGTGGGACTGTTAGCAGGATGCGCCCCTCCACAGTTCGCACACTTTCGCTCCTCTTGTCCTGTGAGGGGGCATAAATGTGTCATGTGGTCGGAAGCACATTTTAAACATTTGGGAGGTACTGTGCAGTAAGACTGCGCATGACCATACCTTTGGCAGCGGTGACACTGCCCAATAAGTCTACAGTTCTTTTGAACTTCAACTCTGATTGCTAGTCCCAGCCGCTCATGTTCATTGAACAGCTGCTGGGACTTTTCAATCTTGGCCAGTATCACGACCACCAAAGGCATGGGTGCGCCGCCACTGCGTTTGAGTCGGATAATGTGGAGAGGAGTATATCCCCTCTGTTCTAATTCCCCTTTGATCTCCTGTTCCGAAAACATTGCGGGTATGCCTCTGACTACCGCGTGAATATTTCGTTCTGAAGGAAGAGGGAACGTATGATGGGGCACGTCCTCCTCCCTGAACAGGCGAACGATTCTTCGGTAGTCATCCTCAGTTTTCGGCAAAATCCTGATTCCCACATCAACGGCAATTGCGCTTTCTATCTTAATGCCTAAGATTATAAAGGTGTAGTTTGGATGTCACCACTTGGTCGCATCACGCAAAACAATGGGCGTGATTCGCCCCTGGCGGGGTGCTGTGCTGGTCAACTCACCAGCAATGTGAGATTGTTGAGCAATGCACCGTCAGTCGATGCAGTGGCCAAAGATTGAGAAGATGTGGAAGAAGTGGCAGAAGAAGCTGATACGTTTAATGAAGCAGGAGGTTTTGAGGGGACTGTCAATTTGGATTTTGATTTTGCTTTTGGAAGAGGTGGGAAGTCATCCGTCTTGTCGGTTTTGTTCGTTTTGTCGATGCGTCTTTTCCTAGACTTGGCCTGGATGAATCCGTCATTCTCTTTTTCATCGTCGGTCGATGTCACTTCAGTTAAATTTTCAAAAGGTCTTTTTAAATTGACAGCCTTGTCAGATTTAGAATTAAAATTTGCATTATTGATTAACTGTGTTACCTGGGTGGTCAGGCAGTCTATTTTACTGTTTTGATCCCTAACTGTCTCAGTCAGCTCCTTTATTTGCTGGGCCTGGCTTTCGATGATCAGGGTCTGGCGCTGGATGGTTCTGTCCTTTTCGTCTGCTACAGCTGGTGTCATCAATTCCTTTGACTGCATGGTCTCAGTCAGCTCCTTTATTTGCTGGGCCTGGCATTCGATGATCAGGGTCTGGCGCTGGATGGTTCCGTCCTTTTCGTCTGCCTCAGCTGGTGTCATCAATTCCTTTGATTTCTTGGTAATTTCTGTTCTCTCCTTCTGGCTGGGTCCATTCATCATCGGGGACTCTGGGGGATCATTACTTTGACCTCCAGAGTCTATCTCCATGTTTTTAAATCGGGTTTTTTATTGAAAAACTTGAAAACTTTCACGAGCAAAAATATGACGTATTGTCAATTATCCCTTATACAGGGCGAATGTCATGCATCACATCCCATAAATAGATTTTCCCAAAATGTATTTGGTATATTCCAAGGTGGCAGGCGGCGGCTGGCAGGCAACGAGTAACAGGTGTCGGGTGTCTGGCGGTAGGTCATCAGCTACAGATGACCGGTGAAAATCCATTTAGATACAAAATGAGAAGGTTGGGGGTAGAAAAGCACTTCACAGACCTAAACAGGAATTCCAGCTCATCCTAGCAACTGGACGGACTTACAAGATGTGTTCGTGGTGATTTGAGCCCCAACAAACCGGAACGAATTGTCTTCTCATTTAATGATGTGTCAGAAGCATTAAATATCCAGATATTTGGTCATAGAGAACGAAGGTACCTCTCCTCTCCAGCTCAACGGTAGAGATCCGTCTGACATTCTGATTGTCTGTATGAAAAAAATTAATTATTTTTATGAATATTAGATAATCAATATTATTTATTGTGGCTATGAAATGTTCAAACGAAACATTCAAAATGACTGCAGCACGTCGGGTACAAATTCTAAGTCCAAACCAATACGGTTTTGTAGCAGGAAAATCTACCAGAGATGGTCTAGTGAATAAAATTAACCAAAATCCTGATGAGGAAGTTCCATCTATTTGCATATTTGTCGACCTAAAAACGCCTTCGATACAGTTAGTCACAGTTTACTGTTAAAGATTTTAGACAAACTAGGTTTTCGTGTGAAAATACATTATTTAATGCAAAATTATTTATCAAAAAGGTCCCAAGTATTTAAACTATCAAAATCATAGAGTAAGGAAATGTTTGTCAAATCTGGTGCACCTCAGGGTGCATTTTTAGGCCCTCTTTTATTTAATATCTATTTGAATTATATCTTCAAAATTAACTTTGTAAAATGGTCAGTTTTGTTGGTGATACGGCAATACTACATAAAGGACAAGACGTATGATTGAGAATGACTTTTGTAAAGTCGTTCATTTTTTCAATACTAGGAAATTAACCGTGAACTTTTGGAGAATGCTTTTTGTACCCTTCACATCATACGCAAGACATCTACCTGATTATTCAAATCTTTCGTTCAAAATAAACAATACAAATTAAGAAATTTACAGACATCAAATATTTAGGATTTTTTTAGTCCAACATTTGAGGTGGGACATTCATGCAGCCTACATTTTGAAGAAGATAATATTTGTTACATTCAAAATTAAATTCTTCGCAGGCATATTGACAGAAAATTATATGCTTACCATACATATATCAAGCCTTAATTGAGCCGCACCTAATGTATGGCATGTTAGCGTGGGGTACAGCTTGTCGCGTATTTAAACGACATAGAAGTTTTACAGAGAACTGTTTTAAAAACCGAAAACCAAAATTATATTCAACAAATGATTTATACAACGAAACAAAATAATTTGGTATCAAGCAACTTTCAGCCATTAAGTTGTCAGGGAGCGCAATAAAATCACACATTGCCATGACACTCGATATAAAGTACCTGCAAAAACTGTCCCTAAACCTCATGAGACCATAATGAAGCCATCGTCCTCTATTTGGTTCTAAAATTGTATGAATACGTGCCCAAAGACTTAGAATACAAATGATTAAAAAAAATTATCAACATAGATACGCACAATAGGCAGCGTATTATTGAACTACTATTAAATATCAATTAAAAATTATCATTTTCTACATATACATCTCCTTGATATACAGTTTTCTTTAAGTTCCTTTTAACTTTTTTTTTGTATATCACACATTCCAACATGCAACTGATCCATGTACCTACAGGCATTGTACTTCTGTCGGTGGAAATATTTATTTACCCATTCTGTGGAGTTTATTGTTATAATGTAGTAAATAAATATGTATCTACTACTTACTGTAGTAGATTACAATGCGTAAGATCAACCAGTAAGAAGCATAAATCTAAATATCGATTAGGAAATTTGTTAAGCTGCAGGGGTTGTTTTCGCACGTCCAATCCGACTTACCATACATTTGTTTGCGTTTGCTGACACCCTATATAAAGCCAAAGCTGCTCTTCACGCTGGTCATTAAGGCTTCGGCAACAACATGATCCAGTTATCCCTGGTCACCACTATTGCTGCAGTTCTCTTGGTCACACTACATTTTGATGGTACGTACTAATTTCATAAATTATGATGCTTTTGGGTAATACAATTTGTCATCTATTCAATCATTCGAACTATGAAAACTAATGCCATTATTATTTAATCAATCAGCTTGGTTAGCTTCTACATCTGCATGTGGAAAATATTGGTACTGTAGCTAGTGTGTGTTCTTAACTTATGTGGATTCTTTTAGATTTTTTGGAATCTTCAATAGAAAAATTGGTTCTTGACAAAATTTTATCAAAATCATATCACTTATTTTCTATTCCCAACAGTCATTCGGGCTCTGCAAAACACCCTGATGCGTCTTGAGCTTACCTGTTCCTCTACTTCAACACTTTGACAGATGTATAAGCCACTAACAATGGAAGCTTTGTGTCTTACTATTAAACCACTTGATTAACTTACCTAATTTAAAAGAGCTTCTCTGGCTCATACCTAAGCCAGTAAAACAAAATCGCTTAATTTTTTCAAATTGTCAACAGTCTATAAGACTTTGCGGTACACCTACATCATGATACCTATCTCAGTTTGCTTCATTTATTTAATTTCTAACTCAAATGTGGTCTAAACCACGTAATAGTGGTGAAGTTTTTGGGCTGTTTCATAACAGTACCAATCCGTGGAAGTATTTGTCATGATTTAATATTATGGTACTCACTGAGAAAAACAAAAACAAGACATCTTCATACTTCGTTTTTGAATATTTTCAATTTCTTGATTTGGGCATAGCAAAAACTATTTTTATGGTGTTCTTTTAAAATATTCAAACCCTTTGCTAGAACAATATTTGTAGATGTGTAATTTTCGAAAAAAATTTTATTAAATGTGATTTTTAAAAATGTTTAAGCCTGGGGATATTTTTTGGGTATTTCGAATAACGCCATCATTAAGGAGGTTTTATTTGAATTTCGTGGTTGTTTTTACAAATATTAGTGTTTATGAGAGTATTGCCTTGAATTCAAAAGTATACCTACACCTGATATTTTGCCAACAGTAAAAATCAAAGGAATTTGAAAAATAAATTCAATTTGTTTTTTTTTTAAGTTTTATAGGTAGCGTGTTCAGCAGTTTATCAATCCGCTTAACACTTTTCGCTTTTATACTACATCTATGTTCAAATGTACAGTGAAATCTCATTGGACGGACACCAACGGGACCGACTACAAGTGTCCGTTCAAGAGGGGTGTCCTTGTGAAAGAAATACAACAAAAATCGTGTTTTTAATGAAAACCGTATATACTAAAGAATCTGGGAAATTTAAAACGTATATGTATATAAATGTTTTTCAAACAAACAATAAACCTTAAAGGTAAGAAATGAAAAGGTTTGTTACCTTTAGATATATACAAAGTATGTACATACATATACGAGCCCCTTCCCACTTCAGTTAGCCCAACTATTGAAATCATAGTTTTTTTCTTATCAAACACAAATAATACAAATGTAGCAGGGTGTTATAGGTTTAAAATATTAACAATGAATATTTTGATAATATATATTAGAAAACACCAACTTTATCACTCGGTAATCAAATTTGCAGCATAAAAATAACACATATTGCAATTACAGCAGATCAACCTATTTTCATTTCATTGCAAAATAAGTCATGACAATTGTTTCTATTAATCACAGCTGTCAGAATACGTTTAAAATAGTTTTGGGTAGTTAATGTTTTCAAAATCGGTAGAGGAAAGGTTATTAGTGAGAAAATTCGGTAACTGATAATTAATTTTTTTAATTATGGGAGATCAAACTCAGAAATTGTAACTTTGTTAGACTTATCGCGGTACAATGTGAGAAATATTGTTAGAAGATATAACGTAACTGGTTCAGTTAATATTAAGCCACGATATGTGAAAAAAAGTAATATCACAAATGCCGACCGAAGAGCATTAAGAAGAATAATCGAGAAAAACATGCGAGTAGATACTAGGTTACCTTGGACGCCCCCCACCACTTCCACTTTGGCCACGCCCACCGCGTGCTCTGATTGGCGGATCAGACGGCGGGAAATTTGAACGGGGTTGATGGTATATGTTGATTGGCGGGCCCCGCGTTGATTGGCTGGCCCCGCGGGGCCCGCCAATCAACATATACCATCAACCCCGTTCAAATTTCCCGCCGTCTGATCCGCCAATCAGAGCACGCGGTGGGCGTGGCCAAAGTGGAAGTGGTGGGGGGCGTCCAAGGTAACCTAGCGCTGATGAATAATGGTAATTATAGATGCAATTCTGCGGATTCAGTTTAAATGGAAAAACGTATAAAATTCGCGGGAACAATGGTGTAGGATGATCTCAATAGTCAACACGTCATATTCAGTGCGCATATAAAAATGGAATTGCTCACATGTGGTGCAGTTAATTTTTATCATTGATACAATATTGAAAACATAGTACAGGCTATATTGTGTATCTAATAAATTCCAACAAGTCAATCACCTACGTCGCAAATGAGGTTAGGTTCAGCGCAGGTGTTGTCGTAGCGGTGATATGCAAGAAGTACCGGGCTGGGCTGTCAAGCATGGGTGAATGGGCAGGGAGCGCAGGCTGTCAACCAGTTAATACAGCGGTGACCTTGGAACACTATGGTTAGTTAAAAAGTGGTGGGGGTAAAATCGAGATTATAAATACCTATGAATCACCGTAAATTATCTTGTCAGTTATCTGCAGCGAACAGACGTGCTCAGTTCAGATTTAGTCGCTAGTTAACGTTTTAGTTTTTTTAAAAAATGGAAAAATTCTTCATCGTTAAGGATTCTACTAAGAAGATTAAAAAATTTAATCTATATGGGCGAGAAGTGGAATTTAAAATACGACCTATACCTAAAGACGTCGAACCTGTAGGATGGATCAAAGACGCTCTGGAAGAAATAGTAGCCAAAGGAACTGAACATCTCCAGCCCAGTGATCAAGTTGGATTCACTTTCTGTTCCAAAGACTTTATCCGCGGTCAAGGATGGATAGCTTTTAAATCGTTTTCCGACGTTTCAACTGAGGACATATGGGAGAAGATATCCTCCATCTATCAGTCAAATTCTGTGGGGTTGAATACCGAGACTTTTTGCCTGGGGGTTACGTCCGTAAGGATGCCTGCTGGTCGTGGTAGAGGTCAAAATTACAATACTTTTGATGAGGAATGCGCCAAAAGAAAAGGCATTATTGCCGTTAAAAACACCGATAATTTGTGTCTCCCACGAGCCCTTGTCATCGCTATGGCCCGTTTGAACAAAGACAAAGATTATAGCAGAATCCGCCTCGATCGAGGAAAAATACAGGGAGAAAGAGCTGTACAACTTGTGGAAAAGGCTGATATTGTTATCCCTGAGGAGGGCTGTGGAATAGCTGAACTTCAAAAGCTACAACAATATTTGCAAAACTACAAAATTGTTGTATACAGGTTTGGATGCAAAGGTCGTGACGTCATTTTTGAAGGCGTGTCCACTGGTCCGACGCTTAACCTAATCTATCACGAGGGGCACTACAACGTCATAACATCCCTCACTGCTGCCTTTTGCTGCATCTATTTTTGTGAGAACTGCCATATTCCGTATAATACTAAAAAAGATCATAGATGTGATAGACAATGTTATGCTTGTAAAAGATCCCCGGCCTGCCTGAAAACGGAACACATCGAATGCAAGGAATGTAATAGAAGCTTTTATGGACAAGAATGTTTTAACGCTCATTTACCATCGATCTGTTCTAAAATTAAAAGATGTGTAGACTGTTTTAAAGTTCACAACGGAAATGATCACATCTGCGGACATATACTTTGTAAAACGTGTTATAAAAATCAACCAATTGAACATATCTGCTATATACAGCCTGACAGAAGTATTCCTAAATCAAATGATGTCTTATTAATATTTTACGATTTGGAAACCCGTCAGGAGAAGGAATTACCCAACGGATCTTTACTTCATGAGCCAAATCTATGTGTATTCAAACAATGTTGTGAATCATGTACCGATAATCCTATATGCAAGAAATGTGGCCTTCGATTACAGATTCTTCGATGTCAAGACGTCATTTCTCCATTTATGCATCATATTCTGAGACTTCGTAAAAATTCAAGAAAGTCATTGTACTGGCGCATAATGGTGGAGGATTTGATCACCAGTTTCTACTTCGTTACATTTTAGAAAAGACTAGTCTATACCCGAATGTAATTATGAGAGGAACAAAATTAATATTGATGGAGGTAGGAAATGTAAAATTTCTGGATTCTCTCAATTATTTTCCTATGCCTCTAACTGCTCTACCCAAGGCGTTTGATTTGAAAGAGCTAAAGAAAGGATACTTTCCACATTTATTCAACACTTTGGCTCATCAGAATTATGTAGGGCCAATTCCAGCGCTCGACTTCTACGATCCCGACCATTTAAAGGAAGACGCTCGGGAAAAATTATTAAAATGGCATGGCGAAAGACAAGCGGAGGGATACGTTTTTGATTTTCAGAAAGAAATCGTTGAATACTGTATCTCCGATGTGGAAATATTGACACAGGCGTGTCTCAAATTTCGAGACCTGATGAAAACCGAAACCACAGTCGATCCCTTCCAGGAAAGCACCACTATTGCATCATGCTGTAACAAAGTCTTTAGACGCAATTTTTTAAAACCTGAGACGATCGGGGTAATTCCAAAAGGGGGCTATAGATGGCGTGAAAATCAGTCAAAAATTGCCATTCAATGGATGTTGTGGGAGGAACATCAAAGAGGAATCAAAATTCAACACGCCGCTAAGGGTATAGAAACCATTGTTAAGGGACAAAAAGTAGACGGTTTTTGTAGCGACACAAATCAGGTGTTTGAATTCCAAGGATGCTATTTTCACGGTTGCCCTCGATGTTTCAAATACAACAGAACCAACCCTCTGCATAATGATTCGTTGAATACATTGGAAAGTCGATACGAACAATCAGTTAGCAAAGTAGAGAGACTCCGAAACCTTGGACTAGAAGTAATTGAGATATGGGAATGTCAATTTCGAGGGATGCTAA